AGAGAGAGAGAGAGAGAGAGAGAGAGAGAGAGAGAGAGAGAGAGAGATTCATTTTATAAGTTCTGTTACTCTAGAAAACCCTTACTAATACACCAACATAGTTGGGGGGGTTGTTTTTTTTGAGACAGCTCTAGCTATCCTGGAATTCACTTTGTATTCCAGGCTGGCCTTGAACTCACAGAGATCCACCTGCCTCTGCCTCCTGAGTTCTGGTATTAAAGGTGTGCAACACCATCTCCTGACAACATAGTGGGTTTATGTGCATTTTATTCATTTATTCACTTGTTTTTGTTTTGTGTGTACGAGTGTTTTGCCAGCATATATGTCTGTGCACCACAAGCATGCAGTGCCTGCAGAGGCCAGAAGAGGGTATCAGATCCTCTGTAACTAGAATTACAGATGGTAGCTGCCATGTGGATGCCAGGAAGCAAACCCACGTCCTCTGGAAAGACTAGCGCTCTTCAGCACTCAGCCATCTCTCCATACCCTTATGCATTTCCTAAGAACCCCAAGCCACGTAAGCATCAGACCCTGGAAGGTCTCATTCTACCTTCATGTGAGGACATATCCTCTATTCTTTGTTCTATATTCCATCTGCCACATACCCCAGAATGACTCCTGTGCCCAAACCTACATATGGCTTTCAATTTCTATAGAATAAAAATGTTCTTGTTTTGTGGAAGATCTCAGTGCAGCTGGAAGCCAGAAAAGAGTAGAAGTTTGACACATGGCCAACAGAAGACATCCCACTACAGGCTTTACTGTATGATGCCATCTTCCCTGGAAATATATCGGATAGTTCTGTGAGAGGTGCAGGGCAGTATAAGGAGGTAGTGGCCACTTGGTGCTATGCCACTTGTACCCGTTTCTTGTCTGTTTCTCCTTCCTCTACCCTAGGCTATGTGACGTCCATCTTGGGTAGAAGGAGGCCTCTGCCAAGGATCTCTGCACAGGACCAGAAGCTTCGGGCACAAGCAGAGCGACAGGCAGTAAACTTTGTGGTACAAGGTACTGCCTGTGGCTCCTTCCTTGAAGTCCCATGTCCCCTGCTCCTTGGGTATTTGGCAGATTGCTCTGTCTAAGGTCTCACGGCCCTCACCTGTCCTGCCTGAGTGTCATGGCTGCTGATGTGGCAGGGTCATCCTTATGTTTTAGACATTTTTGGAAAGACATGGTGATGCATACCTGTAATACCAACCCTTGGAAGGCTGAAGTAGAATTGCCAAAAAGTTGAAGACATCCTGAGCTACTAGCCAGACATTTAAAAAATGAAATAAAGAGATGGCTTCCCCAAGACCCTTGGAGGTCATTCTCTTCCCCTCTAAAAGTAAGAACCTGAGTCCCCAGGATTCTCACCAACATTATAGCCTGTTGACAGAGGTTTCTGTCCTGTCTGGTCCCTCAGCCATTCAATCCCAAAGAAACACACAGGGGCTTACATTAATTATTAACTGGTTGACCTATTAGCTCAGGCTTCCTATTAGTTAGTTCTCACATCTTACATTAACCCATAATTTTTGTCTGTGTCAGCCATGTGACTTGGTACCTTTCATCAGTGAGCCATTCTCATCTTGCTTCCTCTATGTCTGGGTGACGACTGCAGACTAAACCTTTCCTCTTCCCAGAATTCTCCTGTTCTGGTTGCCCCGTCCATACTTCCTGCCTGGTTACTAGCCAATCAGCATTTTATTAAATCAATACCAGTGACAAATCTTTACAGTGTACAAGATCATTGCCCCACAGCAAGAGCCAGTCCTAGAGATGGGTTACTTGACATGGGCTAGGACTCTTCTCTCACACCCTGAGTATCTGACTGGGGTCAGGTTTCCTCAGTAAGGCATTCAAACCACATCCCCACAGCACTGGGAAGGAAGCAGCTCGACTGTATTAAGGATCCATGGTTTGCTTCCAGTTGCAAAAACTCCTTCATTGTTAGCCAGTGGAATGAGCAGTGTCCATGGGAAATGTCCCTATAACAGCTCAGGCACTGTGTGCCACAACTCAGGTCCTAAAATTGAACCCTTGTCTCCACAGGTTCAGCTGCAGACCTCTGTAAGCTAGCCATGATCCACATATTTGCTGCAGTGGCCACATCCCCAACCCTGACAGCCAGGTCAGTGAAATAGTCATTTTTCCAGGGCCCAATAGTGAATTCCTGCCAAAGAGATTTGTTGGATGCCAAAATGGCATTGCTCCTTGTACCCACCACATGTTTTTCCATCCTACCCTAAGGACCCCAAGCTCCTCCCATGGGCCTCTACACACCAGGGTGCCCATATCACTGCCCAAGTGGGTCAGCACTTCTAGTCCTGGAAGGAAATCTCCTACAGGAAGATGACAACTTCCCTAGATCCCAAAATGTGAAGTGAGTCCCATGGGCCCCAGTACCACAGCCCCGAGAGGGCTGTGGAGACATAGGAACCTGCTTGCCTTTGGGAATTCCTCACCAAACTTACAGTTTTCTCTTGGCCTGTAATGTAATTCATGCTCAAGGTATGAGTTTTTCTTTATCAGCAACCTATCATATTTCTTTAGAAAACTTTTATTTCTTCAAACATTTCCCCTGCCAATTTTTACCTTTTACCTGTGTTCTTGGGTGATTTTCACACCTCTGAACAGGAACATGCTCTGTGGACTGGTATTATACAGAGCCAAGGGCAAGAAGCTCAGTTCCACGCCCTATCGTCTCCTGCTTTTTACAGCCCTATTCAAGGTACTTTCTTACTGAAAAGAAATAGGTTGGGAAGCTGCAAGTCCCCTGGGAAGGATACCAGAGGAAGGTGCAGAGACTGTAGCTGAGCCCTGCCCCAGGCATGCCCGAGGGTTGGGAGCAGACTGTGCAAAGCTGGGCCTAGCTGGTTTCTCCTGTCACCTCTCTTTGTCTTCTTCCCAGTACTCACAACGATTTCCTCCCAGTTCCTGTAACTGATGGAATCTGTACATGTGCCCACTCCCACTGTTCCTGGGATAACCTCCAGCTTCATATGGACTGTGTCGGCCCGTCCTGGTGGGTGCTGGAAGCACACTGCACTCTGCATCTGCCACACGCAAGGCTAGCAAGTTGCTTCTCTGTTGCTGTTTTTCGAATTGGTGAAAGATTAAGGCTTAGGGTCTCCTTGGCTGCGATGTCTTTCCAAAAGATAAGCACAGGAATCTGACTCAGGGGTACAGAGAAAAGGAAACTGAGGCAACAAGCAGAGTGCACCTTGTCCAAATTTAGGAGAAGACAAGCTAGGGCTAGGTGTCCTCCCAGAACTGCAGAATCTCCTATCTTGTGCCACCACACAAATGCACTTCTAAAAGGAACCCACAAAGAATTCAGTATGGCTAGGGTGATCCATAAGAGGGAACTTCCTGGCAAGCTATTGGCAAAGGGATGAGGTTAGGCCCTTCTGGAAAGTTCTCTCAAAGGGCCAGGATTTGTCTGCCTGTGTCAGGCCAGCCAGATGCAAATACAGTAGTTCTGTGTCCTCCGTGGAGCAGACGGCAACCAGAGGAGGCATGGTCCCCTGGGAGTCTGGGTGGTCTAAGCCTGCATTCTTCTGCTTCTCCTGCTTGTTCTTGTGCCCCAGCTTCCAGAGAGAAGTGTGATGTCTCTGTGGCTGTGATGGTGATGTGTGAGTGACTAACAGTCACACCTATTAGGTCCTGCCACACTGGCAGCTCAGACTGCGTGGTGTGATTTCAAGAAGTGTGAAGGCGCTTCTGCTAAATCTGGAAAGAGTTACAAGTGCCTCTTCTGAGGTTTCTGTCCATTTGAAAAGTAAACTCCTTGGAAGCCAAGGCCTGCCAGACACCCTGGTAGTAGTTTAAGAAAACATGCCAGTGCTACAGCTTAGTGCCTGCCATGTCCTACCACAGTCTGCCTTCTGGAAGGGAGTGCTGATGCCCTAGCCAGGGGCACTATATAAAACACAAGGGAATTCCTCTGTGAATGTCCCTGAGAATGCATACTCCACTATTCTATAGTCTGGACCCAGCATGATATGTCCACTGCCTGTACAGTTTTTAGAATGTGCATTTGTTGGCCTCTAGTACAGTGGCCTGGCTACAGTAGCCTGAGCTCAAAAGGTGTATCATTTTCCTGCCAAGTCCTGTGTGTGCCAAGGCACAGAGGTTGCTCTGTTTTAGAAGTTCAGGCTCTTTCCCTTTAGTGCCATGATTGAGGTAGCTGCTCTGACCATCTCAACACCTTCCAGGCAAGAGAAGGTCGTGATGGTCAAGGCAACCCTTAGCAAACCTTCCTGAGAGTTGGAAAACAGGTGACTTCTGGGTCATTCATGTTAGAGGAGATGGTGTGCATGCTGGGAACATTGCCCTTTCTCTTCCTGCCCAGTAACAAAGGGTGTTAGAGAAGAAGACTGATGGACAGTCCACCATAGAACTCTTCTGTCCAAGAACCATCATGGCCACTCTAGTGAGGCATTTGAAGGCTGCTTCTTCCTTCCAGCCAGGGTTCACCATCAGATCCATTACCACTGCTGGGGTTAAGTGGGGAGGGTTAACACAACTTCCCTGTGAAGCCTCAGCTTCCAGTGCCACAGGGGAACCCAGGGCAAACAGCAGTAGGGGGCATAGAGCATGTGATTATTGCACTTCAGATTTCCATCCAAGAGACAGAGCAAGGGCCACAGAGGATAGCGCACATAGGACCCCTCTATGCCCTCGACCCTTCCCTGGGGACTATAGGTGCTTGTGACCATCATTATCCCCCGGGCTACACACTTCATCCCTGGCAGTGCAGGACCAGCTGCCCCGTGCACTCACAAAGGTGCTGGGAACTACATATCTATAAGGATTTTGAAGTGTCATCTCCCTGTGGAGCATGGCCACCAGGATCCCACCCTCCAAGGAGCCTGTGGGTTTGTGACAAGCTGTCACATGTGCTGACAGATCTATGGGTTGAGAACTCAGATGTCCCCAGCAGTCCATGTCTCATCCTGTGCACATGTGTGCTCTTCCCCCACTCACCTGGCCAAATCTGCTTTCTCTGCCCAACACACTTACCCAACAGAGCACTGCTTCCTAGACTCCTCTTCCTACTGATGCCAGAAGGGGCTCAGGGGCCACACAGGACTGCTAGAGAAACGGAACCTGAGTGTTCATGAAGCCAAATTCAACTGGAACTGTGGTTCACTGCCCCAAAGTACATGTTCAATCCTGTATGGACCATCCAAAATATCCCATAGCTGATGTGATTTTGTACCTTTGAATTCTTCAAGTTCTGTTAAATATTTATATGGCTTTAAAAGCAAATTTTAAAGCGTATTTCCCCATCACTTCCTCTAAGCTAAAGGGTATGCTCCCACCATGCTCTCCATTCAGCCTCCCTCCTCACAGCAGGAGCGGCTCTCCTGCCCCATCCACGCTCCTCATCACATCCCACAACCAGTGGAGGCTAGGGCACATGAAGAGGTCGCTCTGCTCCTAGAAAGTTCTTCCTCCAGTCTGCCAGTCTCCCATGGCTGTGAAATGCTCAGCCTGCTCAGAGGCCGGACAGCTCTCCAGAAGTTATGTATCCCTCTCTCCTGGCCCCTTCTGCCCACTCCCTGAGCTGTCCTTCTGATGGTGAGCAACCCCAGGCCACAGTGCCAGGGTGGCCATACCTATTCCACACTCTTTCATAAACCAGATGCCAAACAGCCTACCAGGAACTGTCAATGCTAACCTGAGGTTCTGTGTGGAAGCACCCACACTCACAAATGCCCTCCTTCCTCTCCAGGTTAGTTGCCCAGATTCATGACGAGCTGCTGTTCGAAGTAGAAGACACTCAGGTCCCTGAGTTTGCAGGTGCGTCCAGGGGAGCATAGGGGGTGGTGTTACCCACAGTCAGGAAATTTGCCATCTCTGTGAAGCTCCTCCCCTCTGTCCCTCAAGGACTCTCCCAGCTGGCACCTAGTTTGGTGACCCTAGTACGGGGAGATACATGTCTAGTGTTCCAGAACAGCCATAAAACTTCTATGCACAGACATCCATGGCTGAGCCTCCATTCAGGGCAGTCTGTAGAGATGATGATACAAGCTCACAAGATAGATCATACAGTCAGGGCCACAAAGCTACCATCAGAGGCATGACAAGAATATTTTATACCTTTGCCAGAAACATCAGGAACTATGGTCTTTCATGCCCAGACTATTTTGACTGGCACCTTCTCCTAGCCCTAGTACCATAGCCAGAACTAGTAGAATGGGCAGAGTATCTACCCACCTCAGCTGGCCTGCCTCTGCTGGGAAGAGCTGGGGTGGAAGGACGCAGCCAGCTCAGTCGGTATGGTGGCCAGAAGGGTGAGCTGAGGATCCTTTAAGCTGAATCCTGAGCTGTGGATGTAGACACTGGGTGTTGTATCAGCTATGAGGTTACAAGAGAAGATCAAGGGCCCTGACCAATTGGTTTGAGTGGCTTGTAGATCCAAGAAATAACCAGGTGACTTGGATCAGGCAGGACTGAGCCTGAAGGTTCCTCAGTCCTCAACTCATGGGGCCTGGAAGCCAGAAGGCTGGCCAGCCCTGGACCCGCACAGTTGTAAGCGGCTGTTTTCCTGTTCTAGCTCTTGTCAGAAGGATCATGGAGTCCTTACAGCAGGTACAGGCCCTGGAACTGCAGCTTCAGGTGAGGAGACCCACATCTGCCCAGCATTACAGCTGGAGTCAACCCAGTGTGGGCAAGAGGGTCCCACTCTCCAGAGGTAAGGAGAGCAAGGAATAAGGCGAGCCCCACCAGCCTTGCACACCAGGGCTGCTGTCCTCCAAGCCTCCACTTGTCCTCCCCTGATGAGGAGTGACCCAGGTGGTAGCAGAAACATAGCCTGCCCTGTGGGCACTTTAGAACCAACCAGAGCCACAGAAACCGCAAACTATCTTCCAGAGCAGCCCTGGCTCTGCTCACAGGCTCGGAGGCTTCCCTGAGAAAGCCTCGGACCTGCTAGACACCTTGTTGCACACCAGGGCAGTGCACCTCTCTGCATAGGTGGCAGCTTTGCAGGGTTAAGGAGCCACACATGTGTTTACCCATTTGGCAGGGATTCTGTCCCCCTGAGGTTGTCCACAAAGCCTATGCCTGCTGTGAGCAAAGTAAGTACTAGGGGAGGAGCCTGGAGCCCAGGAAACTAAACTTAGCTGCCATCAGGGGGCCCTCATGAGGCAGAAAACAACAGGAAATAACTGGGAGTCAGCCCCTTTTCAGACATGGTGGCTTTGTCTAGTGCCTTGGGGAAAAGCCCACTCAAGTAAGGGTCTTCTGTCCCCTCGTATCTCTCCAAGATACAGCCCTGACTGGGCGAGCACATGTTGCACTATGACATTCCTATCCTAAGTCACCATGCCTGGGAGCCCTACAGACACTTCCTGAGGCCTAGTGGGTAGGGAATTCCACCATGGTAGGTGCATGTGATGTGAGCACGCAGAGGGCAAATATGAGTATATGTGTGTCCATGTGTACACCTGTTATGTGGCTGCTCTCTCTGGAAGGATGTGTCCCTGTGCACTGCTACCTCTTCAACTTGCATAGGAGCCTGGGAGGTGGCTGAGTTTGTTTGTCGCCCCACAGGTGCCCCTAAAGGTGAATTTGAGTGTTGGCCGCTCATGGGGACATTTGGCCCCACTATAGGAGACCCTGGACTCCACCTGAGCCACAGCAAATCTCCCTGCAACAGTCCAGCTACCAATGAGGTCCCTCTTCAGTACCTACCCCATTCAAGTACATTTTTTCATCTTGTTTGTCTGTAGCCCTGGGCAAGAGTGGGAGGAGAGAGTTGGTTTCTACCAGTCCATCCTGCAGCCCTTCCCCAGGTCATCAGCTCGCACTCTGTGGGGCAAGACAGATACAGGCCACACTGGCCTTTTGTGGAACAACTGGGTCCCTACCTGAAGTAAATGCCGAATGAGACGCTGTCTTCTTGTCTGAGGGGATTCTTCCTGTGGGTGCACACACAGGTACAACATATACGCTGCTCAGCAAGAGGTTGACTGGGGAGTGCCTCAACCCAACTTGACCCTTGATGAGTGTCCTCTCAGGCCCCGTTCCCTGTGATGAATATAAACCAGCATGGAGCATGTCCAGTAAGGAAGCCAACAGCTGGCACCGGTGAGGGCACCACTGGGTTTAATATAAAAGGCCCAGTTCCATGACAGGCGGCACACTGGCTGTTTCACTTAAGATGTCTCAGAGATGGGCTTTGATATGTCACCCAAGCCCAGGAAAAGATCACCAACTCCCTCCTGCTGGCTAAGAAGGGCAGCCCCTGACCATGCCATGGTTTCATTCTTCCTGGCTTCTGGGCAGGAAAGAAGGGAGGTGGGAAGGAAACTCCTAGAAAACTATCCAGGAGTTGGGCAGTGTCTGAGTGGTGGAAACCTCCCCCATCCTCCAAGGGTCCCCTCTTGACAAGGCTGGCTGATAGCCTGCACTGGGGTCGACGGGAAATGTCGTCATGTCTATCCCTCGATCTGCCCAACAGATACCTTATTATATCCAAATCTCAAATCAACCCTAAAATGCTTATGGGTAGACAGGTAGACAGGCAGCAGGAGCCACAACCTGTGGTGGAACCACCCAGCAGGAGGCTGCCAGCACCATCAGCGCTCACCTCCAGGAGAAGAAGGAAGCTCTTCATGGACCCAACCCCCATAAACCCAGGAGTCTTGGCCTCGTAAATACCCAGACCCCAGAAACAGGCCAGAACACGGGGCTTGCTAGCCAAGAGACCATACTAAAGGTGTCTAGCTAGGCCTGACACCCAAGAACTGGGAACCAGCATAGGGAGAGAGTAAAGCCTTCAAGTTGCTGCTGGGCCTGAGTCAATCCCAAGTCATTCAATTTCTATCCCTCCACACCCACAGCTAAGTTGTCCCACACACTGGCTGCTGCCTCTGTATCTACCACACTTAGGAAAGTGCGAAGGGCTGTAGAGCCCCTAACCATCCCTGGCCAAAGAGGAATCCAAGCACCTCTTCCCTGGTCGGGAAGAAAACACCATGGGAGGTTAGGCTTGGGACCAGTTGGGGAAAGGGGTCTCTTCCCAACAGGGACACCAGAGCCCGACCCTTGCCTCACTGATTCCACTCCTGTTCCAGGGTCCAGCTCAGCCACACAGGCACAAATAGCCCAGACAGTGGGAAACTCAGAATATCCACCCCAGGAGGTGCCTCAAAAAAGCACAGAGCCGGGTTCCTTCAGTTCTGATTTTATTGAAAAACAGCAGCATTGGGGGCCGTGCAGGCAGAGCACACACCCACTTGGGCCCCCAGCCTGTCTTCTTGGGAACTCGGCTCATCACCTGGCCCTAGGGGCTATTTTGGCACATCCTGGGGTCTCAGGACACCCCCACCCCCATCATGGGCTCACAGTACAAATTCAGGAACAAACCACAACAGTAAGATCTACCACTGTGTCACACCCTCACACACTGACCAAACACAGTCTGTCCTGTCCAAGGGGCTTCCAGCTTCTCTACCCTACCTCAGCCACAGAAGTCAGGGCCGGCGGAGGCTCAGTTGGCCTGGTGGGGTTGTGCTACATTCACATGGAGCTGGGCAGGGCAGGGGAGGGAGTGGGCACAGTGAGAGACAACCACAAGACCCTGCTTCTTATCACAAAGAAAGTGCTCCCAGATCAAAGACTGTTCCCACTGGTTCTCTCCCACTGCTACACATGTGCACATACAAACACATACATGCACACATCCATACACATATGAAACTGCCCACGCATACACACATGCACACACATGCAACACATGAATGTGATTTCTTGGGCACATATAGTCACATGAGAGCACATAATTACAAATGGCATGTGCTTGTGCACACACACACATACGCATACAGATGCTCATACATGCATACACATACTCCCAGATGCACATGCTCACACGTGTGCACAGATGCACAACACAGATGGGTATGCACATTTATGCAGGTACACCCTTTCTTTAAAATGGCTAATTATTGCTGTTTTTTTTTTAAAAAAAAATACATCCAACAGTGGTTAAGTCAAGGCTCATCTTCTAACCAGACCCAGGCAAGCTCTGCCCATGGACCCCTCCCCTGCTGGAAGCACAGTGATGGCAGCACCAAAGAGCAGCACAGCCCAGGGTCTGCCCCGTACCCAGCAGTGTAGCCAAGAGCCAGGGACAGGACCATGACTGAGGCCAGAACTGACCAAGAGAACAGGTAGCAACAGGTTCAGGCAGCAGTGCTACCACAGACAGGGAGACACAGCCACCTCAGGTCAGCTCTCTCAGGCCACCCCCTGGGGCTTGGCGGAAAGGTAGCCTCAAGGGTGCTGCACAGCTCCTACCCAGCTAGGAAGCCATGCCCAGCCCCCAAGAAGCCCCAGGCACCAGCAAAAGACCCAGAAACTTTTGTCCCCAGACCTCTAGCCACAGGCACAGCCCTGGAAGCCAGCTCCAGGAAGGTGATGACTATGGGGCCACCTGGGACTGGCAGAGGCAAGTGGGACTGACCAGGGTGCTTTCCAGCAGCAAGTGAGGATCCTGTGGCTTAAAGAGTCCCAGGCATCGGGCCAAAGCCAAAGCTCGCCTCCACTGTGTCCCTGACTCTGCTCTGACTTGTCCCCTTCCCTGATGAAGGAAGGGAGCTGTCCAAGCCCCTGAGACCACCGGCCTTCTCCCAGACCCAGTCATCTACCACCTCAGTCAGGTTAGCACATCCCTCCACTGCGGCCCAGCCCAGGGCAGGGCTAGGGTGAAGGGCGAGCACGGGGTTGGGGGGGGGGGAGCACAGGGGAGAGGCTGCCATCAACACCAGGACTTGACCCCACTACACTCAGGAGTGTGCCACCCCACCCTAAGGGCCAGCACTTAGCACATGCAGGCCAGCCTCCTGGCTGTCCAGCAGACTAGGCATCTGCAGAGACACCTGCCTGGGCAGTGGGCCACCAGGTCTCTTCTGTTGGTACACCCCACCACCTCTTCCACCCTCCCTCACGACTCTAAAACAGAGGCTTCCTTGCAAACAATAGGACTCCTGGAAGTCCTTGGAAGCCACAAGATCCTGAGCACAGGGTCAGACCCCAGGCTGGCTTTCCCTGGGCCTTATAGGCCCAGAGTACAAGTACTGGCCAGCTCAGGTGCTTGGAGGCCTGAGGGAAGGGGAGATGGCCAGCAAACTCAGAGGAGCTGCACCAAGCACATGGCCACCAGGTGGAGCAGGGAGAAGGGCTCCACAGAGGTAGAAAAAAGAATCTCAACAAACAGAAAATTCACATCAGTGCACATGTGCAGAGCTCGCCCAGCCCTGGTGGGACAAAGAGGACAGGGCCAGGCCCAGTCATCAGCACGCTCAGCTCCCTCCAACCCAGGGCCTCGGGCCTGCCAAGGTGCACACTGCCCAGTGAAGCTCCATCCTGGTACAGCTGGAACCTACCCCACCACCCATTCCTGACATCTCGACCAAGTCTTGGTAGCAACCCAAGGCAGACAACGAATAATGAAGAGCCCAGCAAGCTTTCCTTCACCCACGGGCTGTTTGGCAGGAAGGGGTCCCCTTAGGCAGACAGGTGCCAATAAGCCAGAAGGGCCACATCTTCCCCCCAGGCTCCTAGGAAGGGAGAATCTACTATGAACTCATCCCAGGTCAATATCAAGGAGACTGTGGGATCCCCAGGCTCTGCCCTGGCCCAAACAATCCCAATGCCCTTCTAACCCCAAAGACTGCAGGCCCCAAAGGCACAGGATCAGAGAAGCCTTGGCAGCTGGTGGTGTCCAGCAGACCTGGCTCCCAGTTAGGCCCACCCAGACCTCAGACCCACCACCAATCTCTGATCCCCCCATCCTCAGACACCAGCAGTCCCTATACCCCCACAGCAACTAAGACTAGCCCCGAGCCGAGACCAATCCAAACAGAAAAGAGGAAAAAGGCACAACTGTTTGTTTTCCATTTTGCTAAAACACTTTACGTCTGTCTGTATAATCCAGATTAACAAAATCTGAGAGCTGCAAGAAAATAGGGTGCCAATTTCTGTACAGTCTACAAAACTCCCATCCCCAAGAGGGGACCGGGCACCACCAGGGAGGAATGTACAGGGGAGAGCGGGGTCTGTACAGTGTTCTGCAAATGCCTCAATTGCTAACAGGACAAAAGGCCCCTCAGGAAGCTGGGCTTGTTCCACCAATTCATTCACTCTAAGCCTTTCTAAGAATGTCGCCATGGTGCCAGGGGCCCAGCTCTATAGCCTACCTGACCTGCCACTCCTTGTCCCCAAGCCCCACACAGAGGGTGTGGATGGGCCTTTATGCTCCACCCCCACCCCCCACCCCTCACTGAAGCGAAGTCCAGGTTTCAGCTGGCCACACGAGCACTGCCATCCACTGCCTTCCTTCCTCTGTCCCAGGCCACCCCCCAATTCAGGCTGGACCCTAAGTGGGACCTCAAAAAGGAGAGGCCAGGAGCAGTTGGTCCAGCAGTATACTCTATAGTGAGATGGCTGGACCCACCCCAACAAAAAACCAACTTCCACACCCCAGGCAGTGCCCAGCCCTTCCCATGAGGCTTTAGGGTCCTCCAGTCCTCAGGCCTACACACAGGGGTTCCAGAGGCAGCCTGAGGCCTCACAGACCAGGGATGCACTTTGAGGGCAGTTCCACTAAACTAGAGTCTCCTTCCATACTCCAAACTGAAACCTTCCACCTACCCGGCCACCCACCCCCATCAAATGGGGCCAGAGACCACGTGTATGCTAGCACCACACAGACTTGTGTCTGGAGGCTCAAACTACCATTTTGTCCCAGGAATTAAAGTCATGCAGAGTGCTATTCTGTCTACGTAACTTATTAGAGAATGGGTTGTTTCAGGCTGGGAAAAGCTGTGGCAGGCATCGCCAACAACAGCCTGAGCTAGTTACATTCACAGGGCAGACCCCACAAACAGCATGAGTCCACAGGGCCTCGGGCGGCTGGGAGGGGGTCACCTGATCTAACAGGTGTTTGGGGAGGTGTCCCCCCCCACCCCCATGAAATCCCCACCATGCTGTGCAATGGATTGCTACAGGAACCAAACCCGGGTGACCAGCCAAGTCAGCCAGAGCAAGGAGGCACGGGGACCAAAGGGAAAGAGGTAAGATGATTCTGAAGCAAAGCAGGAATGGATAGGGCCGGGTTAGGCCAGGCCAGGCCCCACCAGAAAGATAGGATCAGGCAGGTAGGCCCTCCAGAGGCCAGCTCAGGACAGGACAAGTGAGCTCACCAGCTCGGACCTGAGGTCCAGACTAGGCAGGGCAGCGGGGCAGGGGGCTGTGGCATGCGGCATGCTGCAGCCAGGCCATGTCCTCAGCATGCACAGGGCAAAGCAGGGCCTGGGGCCAGCTTGGCCTCCCACAGGGCAGTGGCTGGCCAGCCCAGCAGGCCGCTCTTCCAGAGGCCATTGGCTGAGCCTTAGCCTGGCTGGGGGCCAGGGGTCTGCTCCTTGTGGGGCTTGTTGTAGAGGTTCTGTGCTTGACGGGCAAGGCTAGTCCTTCCCTGATGGAGGCAGGCTGGGCAGCTTTGTGGACAGTCCAGGTGGTCCACAATGCTGCTCTTCAAGGCATGACGAGCCACTCTGCTGGGCTGGGGGGGGCAAGGGCTGGGGCTGCAGACAATCTACCCCACCAGAGTGTTGCCGAGGAGCAACGCCCTGTGTCCCCAGAACCAGCCAGGTGACGCTGAAAAAGGAGAATCCAAACTAACGCCAAGGTGAGCATTGGAAAGCAGGGCCGCACTGGGCAGCGAGCAGGAGGGCAGAGGTGAACAGGGGCAGACAGGGTGGTGGGCAGGTGGTGGTGGTCACTCCTCGCGTAGCTGCAGGCGGTAGCGGTGGTAGCGGACCTGGAAGAAGAGGCGCTCGGCCAGCGAGAGGGTCATGCCAGGCAGCACGTAGTGATCAGTTGCGCCCATGTGTCTGAAGCCCAGTGACTCATAGAGCTTGTGGGCGGCCACCTTAACGGCTGTGGTGCCCAGTACCACTGCAGAGTAGTTGTGCAGCATGGCAAACTCCAGCACCCTCCGGCCCAGAGCCTTGGCAATGCCTTTGCCGCGGAAGCGTGAGTCCACGGACATGCGGAGCAGCTCCACCGTATTGTCCTCTTCATGGGCCCGAGCGGCCACGATGCCCACAACATTGCCATCCAGCACGGCCACCCAGAAACAGGATCCTAGGAAGGACAGGACAGTCAGGGACATTTTGCAGGGAAGGCTGGAGAGACTTCAGCTGCCCATTCCTGCTGGGCGCCAAGTCAGGGCATTACAATGACGCCCAATCATCCAGTGCCCTGGCCCTCCTTTCCGCTCTTTGGAACAGCACGGGCGGCCATAATTCAGGATAAGCAGGTAAGTTGCCTCCTCCAGACCCCCTGCGCAACAAAAACACTCCAATGGCCTTAGTTCGGCTGACCTGCCCAGCTTTGCATGACTGGATCCCACAACACAGGGAGGCACAATCAACTCAGGCCGAAGTCTGTACTGTCCTGGCCAGAATAGTAGTTGGAGGTGCCCAGGAGCTGGGCAGGCCTTGATGAAGCAGATTCCTACCCCCAGACCACCTGAAAAACCAGAGTCAAGGCCTCAGTTCCAGCTGGCCTACTCAGAATCCCAGCCCCTGGCCTGCCATCCTCCTCCTCCATGATCCTTGCAGAGATAGAACTGAGTGAGAACCCAGAAGAATGTTTTAGATCTACCAGTGAGAGACCACAGACCGCCATGGACACCCCCAAGCCCCAGTGACTGGACAAGGAGCCTGATGACCAAGCCAGCTATCCCCACCTATAGCAAAGCCAATCCCAGCCTCACCTCTACAAGAAGGGAAAAGAGGGAATAAGGAGTTGGGATGGGAAGAATGCTGAAGGGCACAGGCCACTGGGAACCCAGTCACTGTCGGAAACCAGAGGTCCATGGTCAAGGGGATACCCAGAGACCTCTCTGGAAAGACAAAGGTTGAGGGACAGCAGGGGAGAGCGTCTGACTGGCCAAGAGAGTGCCGTGCTGTGGGTGACCTGGCCTTCCCTCAAAGGGCCACACTTCCCCAAAGGCTCTGCACTATAACCTGTCCCCAGCAGGCAGTAGGAGGCACCCCTACCTTCACTTCTCACCTCTTGAGGGCTCGGGGGAGACTCAGAGCTCTGTAGCTGAGGGTACTGCCTGCCCAGCTCCAGCGCAGCAGAGAAAGCCAACAGCTCAGGAGGGCCCGCATGCCAGAGCCTCTAGGACTTCCCCCACCAGAAGGGGACCCGATGGGCCAGTCTCGCTCCTACCAACTGCTACACGCCCACCCACCCGAGCCAGACCAGAGGTCAGGACAGACTCCAGCACCGACTGTTGTCTCTCCCCCAGGTCTCGTCCCCCGTCTGCATGAAAACTCATAAATCCACACAGCTCCATTAGCTGCTGTCCAGCATTTGCTCTTGTGGGGTCCTGTAAACCCAGCAGATGTCTAAGGATGAGCAAAGACTGCCACACTCAAACCCCCGGGGTAACTGAAGCTCAGACAGAGCACACAACAGGCACCTCTGGCCGCACCCATGCCATCTACCCAAGTCCACTCAGGCCATTTCCCCTTCTCTTCCCAAGTAATGCCAGGTAGGTTGAGAGCCCTGCAGAGGCCAGGAAGCTACACTTGAATGTGAGAAAGGGCCAAGGAGAACAGAAGGCACCAAGGCCAGCTAGCTGGGTAGGAGGTTGGGGTGCGAGGTAGGGCAGCTGGGGAGGAGCTGGCAAAAACTATAGCTGGCAGAGCCAGAGCGGCTGCCCTTCTCTGAAACAGACCCAACTCCCGCTGGCCAGTACAACTTCAGCCCCTCACATCCCAAACGTCTCCCTCTTCTGGTTTTCAAGACCCATCCTGCTTCAGAGCTTGTTAGGGGGAGAGAGCAGCCCCTCTTTCTACAGAAACCCCTAGGTCTGCCATAATTCCTTATGATTCACTAGGAGGTTCACTGGTCAGGATGCCAAGGGTAAGGCCGGGACCTCTTCCCACTCTGCTCCCTGGAACCTTTCCTGTGCCACACAGGCTTCCTCCACCCAAGGCACTCTGGGCTGGCTCAGGATCCAGCCAGGACTTAACTCCTCAACACATATATATATATATATATATACACACAAGGTAGGTACCAGGAAAAGGCGTCCGTCAGCGGGCACAGTGGAGCCAGGCCACCAAGGAAAGGACTTCGCTCTGGCCTCCCCAGCTGACTCTACACTTAGCTAGAGGCCTCAGTCATTCAGAACATCAGGATCCCTCAGCCAGGCCCTCTAGTACCTGAAGGGGAAGAAGGAGGGGGCGGGTAGGGCTGAAATTCCAGAACTCACCAGGTGGCTTCATGTAGTACTGCTCTATGTCAGCCATGTCCGTGTGCAGTGCACACTCCAGGTAGGCCAGAATCACCTTTCGGCTGTAGTAGTAGCGCAGGGCCAGGAGCCCGACCGGCACCAGGCACGTCAGCAGCAGTGAGCGGGTCACAGCAAAGCAGAGGGCTGCAGGCAAGGAGGCACAAGTGAGGTGGCAGGTGCAGAGAGGACATGGGTGGGCCCCACAGCACCGGGAGTCCAAACCACCTTGGTAAATCAGTGCCTAGGGATGCGCCCCACCAGGGACTGTTTCTCTGTGTAGGAGCAGTCATGGCCGTGGTCCCTTTCTACGCTTCCTCACTTCCAAGCTCTCTGGCGTAAACACCTGCTACCTTCACAACCTGAAACAAAGGTCCACAATACAGCCAAGGCCAGGCCAGTGCTGGTCAGCCCTCGGTGCCCCAGTTTCCAAGAGGGCTCTTGCCTATTCCACCTAGCCTGGTGCTAAGTCAAACAGCTGGACAAAGACACCAGGGCACTGCCTAACCAAGCAGGTCATCCCACACTGGTGTGTGAAGAGACTCAGTCAGAGCCATCCCTGGTCAGTTTCTGGGTCCGCTAGGCCCACAGGGTCAGGCGACAAGCACCACACCACTTCCAGATTCATTTATGCTGTGGAAGAGGAAGAGGCGCTAGAGCAAAAGTTGCCTCCCTTGAATGACCTTGGGAGAGTCGCCTCAAGCTCCTCATCCGCAGAATGGGATGATTTGATGTGGGGGGGGGTGTGCTTAGGACCGCACAGGATATCCTCCCTGTGGCCCTGGCTCTGGCGAACAGCCTCCCTGGCTCCCCGCGGAGCTGGCTGTCTTCCCGTCATAAATTAGCACTTGAGCCTCAGGCGGCCTCCCCCGCCCGCAGATTATATATAGTTGTCGCGCCGGGCCGCAGCTGCAGCGGTACCTGCCCTGTCACGCCGCCCCCACCCGGGATGCCCCGCGACGGGGAGAACGGGCACCGCGGACTGAGTTGCTGACCCAGTGCTTCCTGGTCCGCGGCGCCCGCACTCAGCCCGCACCGGTTCCCACGCCCGGCCAGGCGTCTTGGCCGTAAGCCCGCAGCACTGCGCCGCGGGTTCGAGCGGGTCTCCTTCCCGCCGGTCCCACGGACGGACGCGACACCGGGGCTTCCAGATGGGGACCCAGGAAAAGGCGGGGCCAAGCGCGACGGTCCCCGGAGGGGGTCCGCTGGACCCGCTGGAGCCGAGCCCGGCCCGGGAC